TCCATTCGATCCCGCAACATAGACGTGCATCAGAGAACCATATAAATCCACCCGGCAAGCAACAAGGATAGGAATAGCAGAAGCATTTCGTGAACAAACCTTACAAAATTGCTAAATGGCTTCCTCTTCCTAGAACGAGCAAAACAAAACAAGACAAACATTAGCATCACCCATCGCCGGTTCCTACTAACCTTCCATTCCGACATATTCCATCCATGATAATCCCTAGCCAAAGATCGCCATACCCACGATAGAACGAGTTCAAACAAGACTAAACCTAAGTCCAACATGCGTAGAATAATACCTTATCCACGGATTAGAAGAACTACTTACAAAATCGTTCAACCTACGGGTGGCGAAGAGCGAAAGGTGACGGCGAATGAGGGTCAACATGGCACGGACGGCCGGGGTGAGTAGCTCGGACGGCGGCACGGACGGCGCAGCGTGGACGTGAGCGGTTCACGGGGACAAGGCGGTGGTCGGCGCGGCGTGGACGGCGGTGAGCGGCGATGACTCGGCGAGCGGTGGCGAGGGGTGAGGACGGCGATGAGTGGATGGAGGCGCAACGTGGCGGTGAACGGCGACTCGGCGGTGAGTGGCGAGCGGCGACGGCGGCGGTCGGCAGTGATGGTGGCGTGAGAGGGAGAGAGGGAGGGAGAGAAAGAGAGAAATGAGAGTGAGTGAGAGTGAGAAATGAGAGAAAATGAGAAGGTTATCCCATCAAGTGATCTTGCAAGAAGACCCCAATAATGCAAGTGCATTAATGGCTCAACCATCAAGCCTAGCCTAGTCTCCTTAATTTGCTCTCAACCAAGCAAACTTATGGACAAAAAGCCATCTAGAAATATCTCCATCAAGTCTCACCCCTAAAGTAATCATGGCTACTAGAAATAAGCATGTGTAATTAGTTAAGGACTAACCAAGGTAACCAAACTAAAATCCAACCAAGTTGGTCTCTCCCCCCTTCCATTCCCCAAAGTGGCGCCAACCCTATGGAAGTAAGACCAAATTTTGGTCTTTCCCCAAACTAAGCTTCTAGAAGTTGCATTTAAATGAAAACTATAGGTTAATCAATCATAGGATACTAATCAAGCACATTGCACTTTAAGGTGCAATATTCTAAAAATCAATCAAGGTTAAATGTGGTAAGATGGGCTTTACCCTCTTGATTGGCGCCTAAACGAAACCGAATGAATCTAACAATGCGTAATTAAGCGGTGACGGATTGAGGATGTCACAACTCTCCCCCCTTAAAGAAATTTCATCCTCGAAATTTGCAGAATTACTTGATTCTTCAAATAGATGGAGGGAATGACCTTATTGCGTAGCACTTGCTCCTTCCTATCCGTGATCCGCACTGCCTTTTCTACGTACAACACTTTGTCGTCCACGTCGATTTCCTTAAAACTAAGCACATGTGCTAGATCGGATTCATGCTTCCTTAGCATGGACACATGAAACACGTTGTGAACCTGAGCAAGTCTAGGCAGCAATGCTAGCCCATAGGCCAAAATAACTATTCGTTTTAAAATCTTGAAGGATCCAACGTACTTAGGGCTCGGCTTTCCTTTCTTGCTAAAGCGTGACGTTCCTCTCATAGACACTTTAAGGAAGATGTGATCACCTACTTGAAATCCTAAGGGTCTACGCCGTCTATCCACATAACTTTTTTTGATGGCTCTGAGCAGTTTTAAGTCTTTCTCTGATAATCTTAACTGCATCCACTAAATGTTGGACTAGCTCTAGGCCAGTGATCCTTCTTTCTCTAACCTCATCCCAACATACCGAAGTTCTGCAGGCACGACCATACAATGCCTCAAATGGTGCCATTCCAATGCTCTGTTAATAGCTGTTGTTGTAGGTAAACTCGATAAGATGTAGTCACTCTTCCTATCCTCCTTTAAAATCCAAAACACAAGCTCGCAACATATCCTCGAGTGTTTAAATGGTTCTCTCGGATTGACCATCCGTCTGCGGATGATAGGCTGTGCTGTACTGAAGTTTTGTCCCCATAGTAATTTGAAGACTTTTTTAAAACGTTGCTATAAACTTGGGATCTCGATCTGAAGTGATCATTACCGGCACTCCATGGAGACGAATTATTTGCCACATATACAGCTCAGCATATCTATCCATTGCGAAATTCTTTCGCATAGTGATAAAATGTGTTGATTTGGTCAGTTTGTCGACTGTGACCCAAATAGAGTAGTTACCTCATTGGCTCCTCAGTAATCCCATCACAAAGTCCATCATGATGTGCTCTCACTTCCATTCTGGAATATCTAGTGATCGCGGAAGTCCACTTGATTTGTAATGTTGCGCTTTCACTTATTGACACATCAAGCATTTGACTACTTGCTTGGCGATATCTGTCTTCATGTCATTCCACCAATAATGTTGCGAAAGGTTCTGATACATTTTCGTGCTACCTGGATATATATTGTAGTTGCTTCTGTGAGCTTCTAATAGAATCTCTTACTTGAGTTTTGCATTGTTGGGCACGCATAACTGCCGTCGGAATTTAGTATTCCGTCTTCTGCCACTTGGAAATCTGGTTTCCTCTTTTCCGTGCTTTCTTGCAGAATCCTTTGGATTGATGGATCCGTCGGTAGTAGTGCTTTAATCTTTGTCAGCACTTCCGGTTTAATTCTGAGGGTAGCTAGAAGACTAGAAAGATGGTTTACCTCGAATTTGTAATCCGAATCTCGTACTCCTTCGAGAAGAATCCATTCTCGAACCATCAATTATGCAACGGTTGACTTCCAACTGAGCGCATCTGCTACCTTGTTGGCCTTTGTCGGATGATAAAGAATGTTGCAGTCATAATCTTTAAGAAGTTCCATCCAGCGTCATTGCCTCATGTTTAGCTCATTTTGAGAAAATAGATACTTTAGACTTTGGTGGTCTGTATAGACCATAAACTTCTCTCCGAACAAATAGTACCCCAAATCTTCAAAGCGAAGATGATCGCTGCCAATTCCAAGTCGTGAGTTGGATAGTTTAGCTCATGGGGCCTCAGTTGTCTGGACGCATGGGCTACTACTCTTCCGTGTTACGTTAAGACGTAGCCTAATCCCTCATGAGAAACGTCATTATAAATCTCATAACCTTCGGGACCATACGGTATTGTCAACACTGGGGCAGTGGTCAGTTTTTGCTTGAGTTATTAGAAACTTCTTTCGCACTTATCTATTCATTTGAACTTCACCTCTTTCTTCAGTAGTCGTGTCAAGGGAGTAGCTATTCCGGAGAATCGTTTTACGAATCACCGATAATAGCTAGCCAGGCCTAGGAAACTTCGAACTTCCGTCACCATCATCAGTCTTGGCCAATCCATGACTGCTTCGATTTTCGTTGGGTCCATTGCAATTCATTCACCGGATATTACGTGACCAAGAAAAGTTACACGATTGAGCCAGAACTCGCACTTATTGAACTTGGCATAAAGTACGTGTTCTCGAAGGGTAAACTGAGCCATCTTCAAATGTTGTTTGTGTTCCGCTGGACTCTTCGAGTACACCAGTGTGTCATCGATAAACACTATAATGAATTGGTCCAAGTATGCCTTGAACACTCGATTCATTAAATCCAGAAAAGTAGCTGGGGTATTGGTCAAACCAAACGACATCACCGTAAACTCGTAATGACCGTATCAGTCCAGAAAGCCGTCTTTGGAATGTCCTTCTTCTTGATTCTCAACTGATGGCATCCTATGCTCGAGTCTATTTTGGAAAATACCGACGCTCCTTGAAGTTAATCAAACAAGTCGTCGATCCTCGATAATGGATACTTATTCTTGATTGTCACTTGGTTGAGTTATCGATAGTTGATACATAGACGCAATGATCTGTCTTTCTTCTTCACGAACAAGACTAGTGCTCCCCATGGGGATGCACTAGGGCGAATGAACCCTTTATCAAGCAATTCTTGCATCTGCACCTTCAGTTCCTTCAGTTCTGACAGCGCCATTCGGTAAAGGGCCTTGGAAATAGGCTCTGTTCTAAGGGCTAATTCGATGACAAATTCTATCTCCCTTTCTAGGGGCAATCCTAGTAATTCCTTTAGAAAGACGTTGGCAAAATCTTGCACGACGACGATGTCTTCCAGCTTTGGTCCTCCCATGGTCATGTCCACCACGGTTGCCACATAACTCCGGCAACCTTCCTTGAGTAGTTGGGTTGCTTCAACTGATGAAATAAAAGGTATAGAAGGTCCTCCCCCGTTTCCTACGAATTCGTAGCTAGGACTGCTGAACGGGTTGAATTGGATTACCTTACTATAACAATCCACCGTAGCTCGTTACTTTTTGAGCCAATCCATTTCGATAATGACGTCAAAGTCATAGAGAGCCAAAATAGCTAAGTTTATGGTCCCCTTCCAACCATTTATAACTATTTCACACCCTTGACAGCCTAACATAGATAGTATCTTGTCCTTCATTGGGGTAGAAATACTAAGAATCGTTCCCAATGGTTTCGATTCCAGTCCCGCTAATCTAACGAATTGTTTAGCTATGAACGAATGTGTGACTCCCGTATTAGAGAGTGCGTAAGCAATATGTTCATGTAATGAGACCGTATCGGTGATTACGGCCTGAGAGTCCTTTGCTTCCTCTCTGTTCATAGCGTACACTCTTTCTTGTGCTGGGGGTCAATTGGGGTTGCTCTGCGGTGTGGTTCCAGCTTGCTGTCCCACGTGCAGTGGTTGGGGTTGCATCCCTGCTAATCAGTGCAGGCAGTTCCTCACCTAATGGCATTACTGGCCACACCCAAAGCATGCTCCGGTCTTGGTGGGGCACGGGGCTATTCCGTGTTGCTTCCCACAAAACCGGCATACATCGTTCAGGGAGTACTCTAGCTTTCTAATACCATTCTTCTTGTTGGGAGGGATGAAGTGCCTTCCCCCGATCATCGGCCTCTTCCTGAACAGATGGTATCTCGGGTAGAAGGATACCGCGATCCAGACGTGGCTACCTGTTCCGACACATCTCTCTCTATCAGTTAGGCCCGCTCATACAGCTCGTTGTAGTCCTTCAGGTTCAGGGACACCAACTGACTTTGTAGTTCCGGCTTCAAACCATCCCGGAACCTCCTTGCTTTGTCTACCAGATCCTCGATCATTCTAGGTTCGTATTTTGACAGCTCGGCGAACTTGGCCTCATACTGATCGACGGTCAGATGATTCTGGCGAAGTCGCAGGAATTTTTCCATCTTCTGCTCACGTGTGCACTTGGAAAAGTACTTTCCGTTAAAAGCTTCGACAAAGGCATCCCAAGTTGGGACTGTGCCTTCAGGAAAGATCCTTCCTTGAGTGGCCTCCCACCAATTACTGGCATTACCCTGCAGTTGGTATACCGCCAGCATTACCTTGTCTTCTTTTGAGCACCTTAGGAGTGCGAAAATTGTCTCCAGCTCCTTGATCCATAAGGTCACTGCCTCTGGATCTCCCGTCCCAGTAAACATTGACGGCTTCAATTTCAGGAACTGCTCAACTAGCCTGTGCATCGGTCGATCCTCATTCCCGTCTCCGACTAATAGGGCATCATTATGAGCAGCGGTAGCAGCAGCTTGATTTTGAGCTTGCTGTCCCATTAGATTTCTCATGGTTTCCAGGGCTTGCAGAAGCCTATCCAGTCGGCGATCCTTTTTTGCCCTTCCTCTAGCACCTGCTTGGCCTCGGCCTGCCCTTGCTCTATGGACCCTTGGGTCTGGGTTACTCATCTTATAGGGATTCTAGGGGAAGGTTCGATCTACAATCCCAACAAAAGGTCATGAATCCATAAATCTATTCAAGAAAACAATCAGCATTCACAAGCACGGGGTGTTTTCCCTAACTAACTATCCCAAAATCCCAGCGCACCTTATCACTCCAGACAATAACCACGCTTTGATACCAAATTGATAGGGATGTCATGCCCCGCGCCCTATCCTCCCGAGCCTCAGGCGCGTGACCACCGCCTTGGTTATTGAAATGCAACGTCTCAAGAGGCGTCGTCAACCAGTCATTTTTATCTTTCAATTAAGCACATGCGGAAGCGTACTTTAACAACACCCATTCAACAAAAACAAGCGGGATAGCAAGGAAAACATGTAGACAAAACACACTTGATATATATATATATATATATATATATATATATATATATCTCATTAAAGATCGGAAGTTAGTTAAATACAAACCTATTACAACGGGCCTTTTTCCGATTCGATCAAAAGGATCGGGGTTAGACCTATCTCGTCTATCTACAAGGGCCTCCTAAAAAAGAACATGACTCCTCCATGCTTGGGCATGCTATGGCTTGGGGTAGGAGTCATAATCCAGGTTCGACTCTAGATTGCTAACAAGACCATCGGGGACATTTGACGTGGCGGGATCCCACGGGATTGCACCCAGCGTACCCAGCGGTCCGTCAAAGCCCCGAAGAGGCCCCCAAAGCTCACCCCGAACCACACATACCACGCCTTAAAGCGATGGGGAATCAAGTTTGGAAGTCCCTCGTCAACCCAAATGGTCGTTGTGTACTCCTCGTACACCGTATCTGTCCCCGGTGCCACGTACTCGACGATCTCTACGTCTTGGTCGACCGGGATACCAAAATGCACTATCCGCGTATTCATCCTAAGGTTCTAAAAAAGTTTAAGCCACAACACATAAGTAAAACTCAATAAGTAGAACCTCTAAATCTCAAGCAAGATGAAACCTTGTCTCGAAAACACAAAAAGTAAACCCATTATCTTAATCATGCCAAGAACACAATCAACAACCATAAGCGAAGCCTTGCTTTTAATCGGCATGCGACAATCACACAAAGTAATCAAGAACACGTTACACTGCATAGTTCATGCACAATGCAACCACACGTGTTCTGATTATTACGAACGCTCATGGCCACGATCGACACTTGCGTCGGTGGTCGTCCGGCATGACTGGGCATCGTCCCGACCCATCGGGCATGGCAACATCTCGACCTCACTCAAAGACGGCATTCACTTAAGAGCATCGTTCTGAAATCTATTTGTGAACGGCAACCGAAATCCATCAGGCATTCGAAATTCATTGGGCATCGTCCCTCGCAATCATATGAGTACGGAACCATTTATGTGATCAAGCAAGCATATCAATCACTTAAACCAATTATTATCTTCCACTTAGGCTAATGCAAAGAGTGTTTCATGCTCACGCACTTAGAACATCTAACTTCCGCACACATAAAAATGCACTGAAATAATCACATGTGAACAACCACAACTGTTCTTCATGCAAAATTGCACACACTGCACCTGCAACCTTACCTTGTAATAATGGACAAATGCAAGATGTCATATGACGTTGTTTTCGTATAGACTCCTAACAATGTGACAATATGCAACTTTTATAATAACAAGCAATCATATGAACACATACCCTCCATTTGATCCCGCAACATAGACGTGCATTAGAGAACATATAAATCCACCTGGCAAGCAACAATGATAGGAATAGCAGAAGCATTTCATGAACAAACCTCCCAAAATTGCTAAACGGTTTCCTCTTCCTAGAACGAGGAAAACAAAACGAGACAAACATTAGCATCACCCATCGCCGGTTCCCACTAACCTTCCATTCCGACATATTCCATCCATGACAATTCCTAGCCAAAAATTGCCATACCCACGATAGAACGAGTTCAAACAAGACTAAACCTAAGTCCAACATACGTAGAATAACGCCCTATCCACGGATTAGAAGAACTACTTATGAAACCGTTCAAACTAGGGGTGGCAAAGAGCAAAAGGTGACGGCGAACGAGCATCAACATGGCACGAACGGCGGTGGTGAGCGGCTCGGACGACGGCACGGACGGCATGGCGCGGATGGTGAGCAGCTCATGGCGACAAGGTGTTGGTCAGCGCGGCGTAGATGGTGATCAACGGCGACAACTCGGCGAGCGGTGGCGAGGGGTGAGGACGGCGACGAGCAAACGGCGGCATGGTGTGGCAGTGAATGGCAGCTCGGCGGTGAGTGGCGAGAGGCGGCGGCGGCGGTTGGTAGTGATGGTGGCGTGAGAGGGAGAGAGGGAGGGAGAAAAAGAGAGAAATGAGAGTGAGTGAGAGTGAGAGATGAGAGAAAATGAGAATGTTATCCCTTCAAGTGGTCTTGCAAGAAGACCCTAATAATGCAAGTGCATTAATGGCTCAACCGTCAAGCCTAGCCTAGTCTTGTTAATTTGCTTCCAACCAAGCAAACTTATGGACAAGAAGCCATCTAGAAATATCTCCATCAAGTCTCACCCCTAAGGTAATCATGGTTACTAGAAATAGGCACATGTAATTAGTTAGGGACTAACCAAGGTAACCAAACTAGAAACCAACCAAGTTGGTCTCTCCCCCCTTCCATTCCCCAAAGTGGCGTGAACCCTAGGGAAGTAAGACCAAATTTTGGTCTTTCCCCAAACTAAGCTTCTAGAAGTTGCATTTAAATGAAAACTATAGGTTAATCAATCATAGGATACTAATCAAGCACATTGTACTTTAAGGTGCAATATTCTAAAAATCAATCAAGGTCAAATGCGGTAAGATGGGCTTTACCCTCTTAATTGGCGCCTAAACGAGACCAAATGAATCTAACAACGCATAATTAAGCGGTGACGGATTAAGGATGTCACATTTATGGACATTTGGGCTACGGAACCTTCTTGATTTCGAGGTATTCCTTCTTTTGAAGCAAACATCCACAGGTGGTATGCAAGACTAAAAGGTGATTTATCAGTTCATCTTACTTGGAAAAGAGCCGGGATTGACACTGTTTTGAAGGTTAGTATGCTGTCATATGACCTAAATATGGGGCATTTAGGTGCTGCTGTTAGTTTCTAGTCTTCTTCAACCAACTGTTTCTTCTTTCCCTGGGGCCAAATGACAATTACTCTGTTGGACATTTATGTCATGGCTGGCGTTTCTCCGAATGGTACACCTGTAGAAAATATGGCTTCTTTAGAAGTCATTTTTATCCCTAAAAGTGCTCTTGCTTACGGTAGATTCTTCGATCGATTTTCTCATAACTCTAATCCAATCAGTCCAAATGAATGTAGAGCCTTCTTGCTTTTCTAGTTGTCTGAAGACATCTTTTTCAACCCATCACTTAAAGTTTCTAGAGACTTCCAGCAACTTGCTGCTAATCTTACAGTAGGTAAATCGATTGCTCTAGGTCCATTAATCTTGGCCACAATTTATAGAGGTATCACTCATGCATCTTTAGCAATGAAGTCAGAGGAAGATGTACCTTGTTTGGTCCATTTTGGCTTTTGCAACGTTGGATGGTTCTGTATTTTCCATCTCTTTCTGGTCACGAATTCCGTACTTTTCGCCACCATTTCTATCCAAGTTTCTGACCACCTACTCCTCCTCCTTTTGGATGCAGATTATTTAGTCGTTCCCCACTAGTTATTCCCGAGAATACCTCTTCTTTCATATTCCATCTTCAAACACCCTCGGCAACTAATTTAGGGTATGTTGAGTTTTTTTCCCTATGAGGCTAATGAATTCAACTACTTATTTGATTTTCTAGCTCGAGATAACTCTTCTGACTTTTGGGTATGCGTCCTCACTCCAGTTGATCTTCCTTTAAGGCTGTCTCAAAAAGGAAAATTCTATCATAGTTTTTGAAATTTATTCTCCACAGTATTGTGCCAGGCAACATGGTTTGACACAAGCTATTCCCATGCCAATTCCATGTTCTCTTTAATTCCCTTTTATGGCTAAACAGAAGTATCATTACAGAGACCATAATCCTTTTGTCTGCTGTTCTAAAATTACCAATCTCATGCTTGCTCGATTTTCCCCTAATGTATGAGTTCAATCCCAAACCTAGATGCACATCTGAATAGACCACCTGATGGCTTTCTTTCGCTCTTGAGAGTCCTTATGAAGCTACCACAAAAGCTGTCTTGAACCAAATAAGACATTGTATTCCCGAATCAAAGAGTGCAAGCAAAAAGGGAAAGAAGACCATTGGTGTGGAGTCAACTGATCAAGAGGATTCCTCATAACAAAGCCTAGAGCCATCGATGAATGATGTAACTGAAGGGTTTAAAGTCCAAAAAGCTAAGAAGGTGCCAGTTCAAAAGGTCACTATAATCCAAACTCGACCATCTCGAGCCAAAATACGTGAGCATGTCGCGATTGAAGAAAAGGTTGTGAAGGCTAAGACTAAAAGAAAAGCTGTTCAAGGTAATTTTCCAACTTTGCAACTCTGTTTCTCTTTTATGTTCTGTCTTTGAATAAATTTCTCCTTTCGATAGATGCCCTCACTACCAAGAGTTCTTCACCAACGAACCAGACTTTAGGAGAAGTAGAAGAAGTAGTAGTGGGTTCCATTGCTCCGCTAATCAAGAAGAAGAAATCCAACATTTCCACTCCATCTGCTTCAACTATTATGAATGTTGGCAAGTCTTTGAACATTCATGAACCTCAACTAGAGCAAACCCATTTTGTCGACAATCATGATGGTAATAAAGATGACTTACTCTTGCATCTGTTCATCTTTCCTTTCAGACTTATCAATAGTCTCTGCCCCTCTGCTTTGGCATCTTATAGTAAATCTCGTCACATACTAATAATTATCTTCTATCACCAATAAACTAACATGGCCTTATAACAATGTATAGGTGCACCTATTGATACAGGGAATGAAAACTCATTGGATGAGTCCATCAATTTGCCACAACAAACTTCTACTACTAGTC